GAACTCCCTATTTGAACAATTACTTCTCTTACTTTCCTTTGTTAAATGAAAAACTTTTTTAGTTTTGACAGTACATCATCCACTATAAACATACAAACATGACGACCCACACTAAGGACGCCATGTTGATTTCGAGAGTAATAATTATTGTCACCAGTCCTCCCTCCTTGTTCAGTTGCCTTCAAACTGCATATTTTATTGATCTCCAAGAGGTTCAAATGAAGCTTTTGAAAACTTGCTTATTATACCTTTGTTATATAATGATAATTAGTCATAATACATTCAGCAAAAACAGTTCAACATTAATAACTTGATGTTCAGGGAGTGCTTCACATCAGATGTCACCACATGCAAGTGTTGTGATTTGACAACTTGAACGTGTGAGTGTAGGAAAAAACTAGTGATCTTGTAGAAAAACATCGTAATTATCATTTAATTAATTGTAAAGTTTAATACATCTATTGAGTAGGTAACCTTTCAAATTATTCTAATAACAATTCCCTAAGCAATGAAGAGTTCAGTACTGATTGATAAGCATCATAGAGACTGTGATGTAAATGATTGACTTCAGGGGAGGGAGGCTCGATGACAATAACTTTTGAAATCAACATGGCATCCTTAGTATGGGTCGTTATGTTTGTAGTGGATAATGTACTGTCAAAACTTAAAGGTTATTTGTTTAACAAAGGAAAGGTAATAGAAGTAATTGTTCGAATAGGGAGTTCTTTACATTTTCATAGAGAGAGATTTGTTCCTTTCTTAAAGTAAGAATATGGATCATGTTCACAAGCTTTGCAATCTAGGTGAAGTTATTATGTTAATAAATATCTACACAGTTGGATCTTATTGAAAGTCACTTGTGAAGGTGAAATATCTTCAGTATCAATTAGAATACCTCTTCTATTGATGTTTCTTACTTACAATTATTGTGTGAAATGACTATGAAGAATTGTGCAAATGGTCCAAAACTTGTGTGAATACTTATGCGAAAAGTCTTTTGTTCAAAATGTCCTGTATTCTCTCGATGAATTCTCCACAAATCTGTGCTGCAGAAAACTGCACACTAAGCACTCTCTTATCAACAGAACTGAAGACATCCTACCCATGAAAGTAAAAGACAATGAACCTTTTGAGTATAGATCATAGTTTATGGATTACTAGAAAACAGGCACATTTGACAATTTTATGATTTCCTCCACGTGGTTGGGGTAATTTGACTTCCACTTTGATGAACAACTATGAAGTTACCATGTCTAATTGGTCTACTCTTTTTTTCTTACCAAAATTTGTTTTACCCATTAAGCTGTACAAAAAATCATGTGATCTTGTAAGATAAAATTAGCTTGATGTTGTAGACATGCACCCCTTACATAGTCAATCATCACCTAGAAGAAGAGATGTATCCATTAATTTGTTTTAATTTTACTGAATCTTCGTTTTACTTATTCTTTACCTTTTTAAGGTTGGATTTGAGGTTAAGCTCTGTGGTGGTAAACCTGGTGAGGCTATTTGCTCCATAATTAAGGAACGTGGCATTGATCTTGTCATCATGGGAAGCCGTGGAATGGGTGCTATAAGACGCACCTTTGTGGGAAGTGTCAGTGATTATGTCCTTCATCATGCACATGTACCTGTCATCATTTGCCCCAAGCATTGATGTTCATTACTTCCTTGATTTACTCATTGCATGCTTTAGGCATCAATTTCAAAATAAAATTGAGTGATTTGCAAGCTTCCATACTGTAACAGTAGGTAGTCATGATGAGTTCAATTTTTCAATGAGATATATAGCATATTTTAAAATATTCTCTGATTTTGATAAGAGTGTAATAGCAGAGATTTTCAATTTCTTTAATAAAGATAACAGTTCATCTCAGTGATTAAAAGTCTCATCATTCTAGTGTTGAAATCAATCATATTAGACTTAAGTCTATGTTAAGTATTCTTACACATTCCAGACCATTCTTATCAGACTTATTAGCCAATGATGTTATCAGTCACTCAGCAATGTCTTCAAGAGAATATTGTTCACTGGCTTCAGAGTGGTTCAGTGAGTCTACAAAAAAACCTGGCTAAATTAGTGCACAAGCTTCACTACCTACAAGTGTTTACAATTTGTATTGCTGTTTGTGTCTGTCAAATTTACCATAGTCCTTATCTAAAAACCCAATCTGCAGTATGCAGCCTGTTTTAAACCCCAGTCCATATTTCAAAGTCAAAATTTATATGTATTTTTTCTGAATATGCTAGAGTTGGATCCATAGGTTCTAATGCATCAATTCAGAACATTCGTGTTTCCTAAACAAAATGAGGAAAAAAATCTCATAAACAGGATCAGGGTCCAAAGACTCCTGTGATACACCCCCACTCTCTACTGGAATAGTGGACTAACCCACCCCATCATAGACAATGGCAGGAGGTTCAAATAGAAGGCAGTTGTGACCACAGTTGATTGTGAATTATATCAAGGCTTCTTTATGCAAAAGTCCTCTTGACACAACTTTTTGTCTCAAGTCCAAATATGAATGATGTGATTGTTTTTGGATTTTAAGTATTTCTTGAAAGCTGTTGATTATGGGTATTAAGGTCATCTGATTAAAGAATAAACTATGGTCAGCCTTCTGATTTCAGAAACAAAATTATAAAAATGTTGTGAGTACTTCTCAACCTAACAAACAAACAAAATAATGCTCATCAAGAAAACTGAGAGGTATCAAAGAAACAAGAAATTTTGTGAGACAAAAGCCAAACTTTATGGAACTTATGCACATTATCATTTCTCTTCTTTTGAAAGATAGTTTGTGAAGTCCAACTTCTATTCTGAAGTCTGTCATAACTTTATCTGCACCAACTGTTTCTAACAATTTACCCATGGTTTGGCACACTGCAGTAATAAGTGTAGTCACACTTTTGGAGGAACAATACCAGTTGTAATGATTGAATGAAGGTAAGCTGGGTGATTATATAGTCTGATCATCCAGGTATTCAACAACAGTGACAACCATTTCTTGTCAATCCCTAATGGTTGTTGACTCTTGCCTGGACTGACAGAGCAAAATTGAGTAATAAGTATATGGCTGGAAATAACGCTACAAGAAAAGAACAGAACAACCCAGCTTTACTAAAGATAAAAACTGACCAATCACAACAGACTTGCACTTTTTGGGTCTTACAAGCAATCAATCAGTTTCAACAAAGCAGATCTATAACACTTGGCTCACAAAAAACTTGCTCACTTGATACTGAAGACTTGTGCACAGATGTTGAATGTCAGTTACTCCTGACGACAACCGCACTTCACAGAACTTCTTTTCCCAAAAAAAGAACAGACTACATAGTCAAATGTTACTCCTACTTTTAAAACCACTCACTGAAAAAATTGTTGCTGTTTTTCAATGCAGGGAGCTATTTGTCTTATTTTTTTCCCTGAAGTTGTCCTTTGCTAAATATTTCAATGAAAATAAGACATCATACCATTAACCATCCCAAACAGCTTTGAGAGCCTGTGTTCCAGGCAGTTTTTCTTTTTTCCATGCCTTGCTCAGTTGCTCTCCCCTAATCTCATCCAACACACCCAACTAAGCAGATTTTTTCCTTCAGTGTTATTTGCGATGTACATTCATGTCAATGAACTATCACCTTCCCTTCACATACATGTAACCTCACAGCTCTTGTAGACATTAGCGACACATCTTGAATCACTTTACCAACAAAGTGGCCTGACTGTGCAGCAGAAAGCTGAGTTCTGAGTCAAACTTCTAGACACATTGCAACACCTAGTGCAGAATGAATCAGTTGTTCATCAGGAGACTTTCTTTGCTCTCCAGTCAAGAAATTCATCAAAGTCACTATCATCACTATCACTGGTAGTTTCTCTTTGTGGCTGTGGCTGAAGACTTTTCAGATTAGAGAATTTGTCCTTTAAAGAACTCTGTTTATCCCGCAAGGCATCAGCTCTCAGAAAGTAGACTCTGATAACAGTAAAAAAGAACAATACAACCTCATAATGGATGAAAATAAAAGCAGAATCATTTTTACCCTTTAATTTTCCCCTAGGAAATTAAAATCTAAGTGGCAGAAAAAACTACTATCCATTTATTACTGGCATAAAAACCCACTGTAGATGTTTATGAGAGCAAGGGAAAAGTTTGTAAGTCCCTCAACTGTTGTTAGTGATTTACAAGGTCTGCCAAGCAAACATGAAAAAATAATCAGGTCATATCCAGTTGTCAAGACTTCATCATATCCAATTATCATGACCTCATCTAAGCAATTGATGCTAACTGAAAGTTTTAATCAATGTTCAGGGTATTCCATTAACCTTTACTAAAGAATAATGAAAAGAGTTTCACCAATTGTTTGACTTTAAGAGACTAAGGTTCATTTAAGACAAGCATTCAAACAAAGACTATGACTAAAAACCCAAACACTTAGCAACAACAAAAATAAATAAGGTTCACTGTCACTAATAAACTGGTAAAAAAACAAACAGTGTACATGTTATTTAAAAGAAATTTAATTTTGTCCTAGTAAAGCTATCATTAGAGGGACTTAAAAACAATCATTATCAATACCCTAGGGTTTGTTAAATTTCAAAATTGTTCTTGTATCTGTGTTAAACTTAAGGTTAAGGAACCCACAAGTATTCAAACCTTTGCCATCTACATGGGTATCAAAATCAAGAAATGCCTCCTAAATAACTGAAGTTCTGGAGAGCTTGAGGTGATTTCACATCAAAATTATCATATTCCAATTCTGGCATTGATGTGTATAATAATTCCACATGTACATAGCCTCCAGATATTCAGTTCTTTAGTTTATCACTAATGGTAAGGTACCAGTAAGTGTAGGAGGGTATCATAGAGTTTCCAGCTATTTGATACACCATGTCAAATGCACACAGATCAGACAAGTTTCTTATTCAAAATGGTAAACTTGATGCAACCATAACAGTAAACATATGCAATCATCCACTGGTACCAGTGATCATTCAGTATATCAAGCACATGTTCAATGAGTTTTGAAATAAATTTAAGGAATTTTCCACACATTTTTTAACCCATTTCTCTGTATTATTCTTACATGTGTATGGATGTAATTTTGCTCAATGTCAACATGTTCAAATTTCATACAGTTCACTTTTAAGTAGTGAATTACCAGCAATCTGAAATATTTGTTCCATGGCTTGTTCAATATAGAACAAGAAAATCCAATCAAGGTAGTCAGTCATCATTCAATACCATCACCGTTCAACCCTTTGTTATCACCATTCTTATAAATAACACTATGTTTATCATGACCACCAACATTGTCATCATCATTACTTTAATTTATAATTATTACTATCATCATCATCATAATTATTCACTACCTCTGTTCACTGAGTTCTGATAATTCCCTATTAACTCTGGACTCCTCGTCTTCTCCTTCAACAATGGACTGTGACACCTGACAAAAACAACCAAAAGATACTAAGGAACAACAACCTTTAAGTTACATGTAAGTCCCCTTGGCTTACCTTCCCAGCTCCCATCTGATGGCTGAGGGTCAAGGACTATGGATAACCTCTGTGAGTCCCCACTGGACCATATTCAAAGATAGGAAAATATTTAACTGTGACTATAGCACAAAGTATTCATCACACCATGTTTGAGCAGTTTACAATATCACACATGTTTCAGTTGCTACGTTTATAGAGTATTCCAAAGTTTTACATAGTTTAGGTATTTTTGTAATTATTTCAAGCTATGAAGTTATTTACCATTAATGAGCTTTTTTTAAAAGACCTGTTGATGTCACCTCATCAAAAAGCATTTCCTACCGAAAATGCCACTCAAACCTAGACACTAGTAACTTCTTCATGTATGGTAAGATATATGATATTTAATTTGATTAGATAAAAAGTAACATACAATCAAACTTAAAATAACACTGAATTCTTCTTAACTATAATGTAAAGCTCTTAATAAAGATCAAGCAAACAGAATGGACAAAATATATCATGGTATCACTCTGTAGAACAAGAATAAAATAAACATGGAAAGCAGAGCAACAAAAAGGCTTCACTAAACAATCCAATTTGTTTTAATGTATAACTTTTCCCCCACCTGGTTTTCTACTTGCATTTCTTTCTGGAACTTTTCCCATTGCTCCTCAGCCTGATCTTTGTACTCTACTTTTCGGACCTTCGTGTACAGCAACAAGTTCCCAAAGAAAAGTTAAATGCAACAAAAACCATGACAGGTAAATTCCACATTTTATCAGAAAGAATCTATATTTATTCATAAATACTAGCACCGCACTGATAAACTAACTGTGTGACTGTGTGTTACTCATAAGCATTCTGCTGCAAATGACCTCATCTTGAAAGTTACAGTGTGTACTGTAAGCACACAACCTCAATTCTCAGAGATTAAAATAAAGAGAGAAGTAAAAAAAAAACTTACATGTATGAAGCTTTTCAAGATAGGAGGGAAACTAAACTTACAATTTAGACACAACATGAATTGGATGACTTCCAAACCTTTGCATCTAGTTTTGGATCATCAAAAAATCCTTCCGGAATGCCCTCTGTGGAATCTCCACTTTCATGATTTTATGAAAAAAATTTTCCATGAGACAGGTGATCAGTGACAAAATTAATTACCAAATGACAAAAATACATAATGTTAGTACATAAACAGCATGATACATTTTATGGAAATTTTCAGCTATGTTTTACTTAATTTGTCACTTAATTCCAAACTAACATCTGTACTATGCTACCTTTTTTTAAGGAAAAATGGACTTGAAATGACTATTTAAAACAAAAAATTTTAAAACAGCTTTATGGTTTACATGATGTATTATACATGTTATTAATAAAATAATCATTGAATACCTGGCAATATGCTGTTGCATTTCAGACTTGATTTCATGATCAAAGAAGTCTGAAATAAAAACAGAAAGAAAATAAAGGTAAATCATTCCTTAAACCCCACATATCATCAGAGCATTACACTAATATATGCAAGCATAGTAAAACCAGCTCTAAGACCACCTTGTTTTCAAGCATCACTAGGACAGCTCTTCAAATCTGTCATCACAGATTCAAAATGAGAACCAGCACCAAACTCTACCACTTGTGATGTTAAGTTCTCTATCAGAATCGAACCTTCTGCTCCAGCTGAGGAAAACTTAAGTTCCTAAAGTATTATCTGGCTAGTTACAAAAAAAACTTATTCAGCACAAAGACAATTACAAGTGAGCTGGAAACAATTTCTTACCCGAAGGTAAACCTGCCTGTTCATCTGTGGAAATCTCATCTTTTATCTCTTCTAAACTGTCTGTAAAGCTGAGATAATACCAGCATTACTGTCAAATGTAGTTAGTGTTTTGCACAAAAATTAAGACTACAGTCTGTAACAAGTTTTCAAAAGTTGTTGTGTTCACATGTTTTTTAATTAATTGCTGATTTCCTCAGAGAAAAGCCTTCCACAGATGCATAAAAACTGCACCTTAAAATTGTGGCAAAGAGCAAGATGAGAATTTTAACACTAATGCCCCACAATATGACTGCCTTTCCTGGTATTATTATATTTAGTATATTACATTTAGGTTGACCCATTCAATAGCAATATGTTTGTATATTCATAAATTGGTTCTAATATTGCCATTATCAGTGTCACCTCTTTTGATTCAAAATTGACTTATGGTTGACCAGATTATATAATGGCCATGGAACCTCCCAGAATTTTTTAATTAAAATGACACTTTAACACAGAGAAAAAAAAACATTTGAGCAGAAAAGTATTGTACTGTAAGTAATGATACAGCCATCAAGATATACCTGTTCGCGTCACTACTGTTATCAACTGTGGATGTTCAAAATATGAAATAAACATGTTATAATAATATATAGCCTACATCCTAAAATTAATAAATTTAAATAAAATGAGTGGTGTAACAATTACTTTGCACAACAGTTACACTGTATGGTCTGTATCAGTGGTAACATGGTTAATATGTTGTATTTTGCAAAACACAGGCATATGATTGATGACTTGAAAGATCTACATGTAAGATAAAAAAAAATTGTTTGCTAAGAAAGCTTAAAGTCTATCAATGAATGAAAGTCTTCTTAACAAAGAATAACACTGACAAAATAACAAAGGCGATTCTATGAAAAATTTTAATGAACTGACCTTTTAATTTTTTTTTTGGTGCTTCTTCATTTGTTTCAACCTGTTGATTAATTTGTTCATAAACATAATATTCCTTAATTAGAGAGAATCACAAATTAAAGGAAACATTAAAGGTAGAACAAAATTGTTCAGTAATTTCTTAAAACACACAGGAAACAACTAACTTATACATAAAAATCATTGTCAACATGATAGCTGAGGGTCCCCATTGGAATCCAGGATCAGATTTATTTGAAGGCCAGGATCCAGGAACTTAAAGTAACTAGGGGGTTAGATGTGGTATTGTTTTCATGAACAAGACATAGGAATTGACAATTTTGAGGGGCAGGGTTCAGCAAATAATAACCTAAATGAACTGAGAACAGGGAAGTCTGGTTTGATCTATGTGATCTACATGAAAGTTAAAAAAAGCCAAGCTTTGAATGCAGCCATTTTGAGAGGATTGCATTTCACTTCTTCCCACAAAACAATGGAAAACAATGAAACACAATCCCCTACAAACACCTGCATGAGAGGCTGAAAAAAGCTGTGCAGAGGTTTGTTATGACATTCTCATCTGGGCACATGCCAGGCATACTGTCTTTACCCTGCACTGTTGCCTTCATTGCAACCCATTGGTGATATCTGGACAATCTGAGCTTTGAGCTGTACTGTTATAGTGACCTTTGATTTCTTGGTGACCAACCAAATTATCAATTGGGAAAAATTGCAACACATTGCTCTTTGAGGATGTCAGCAACTATCAAAAGCAATTAATCAAATTACACCATTTAATCATAATTTAGTCTGGATTACAGGATTTGGGAATCCTTGTAGCTGTGCATGGTTTTGTTAGAACCAGGACACCAGGAACTTAACATGGTGATTTCCATTTCACTTTTTTACTTTCTACTTCAGACCCAAGTTACAGGGGAAGGATATTTTACCAGTCTGAGAGAAATTTGGAGTCAACCAATGTTTGGCATGTTGTATTTCTACTCCAGAGTAAATGGTTTGAACCCTGGGATAACATGTGATAGTGTAGTCTGATTGACCAGGTGTGTGTAGTCCTGAGAAGGACTGTTGTCAGTGGTGGTGACTGACATTTCAACAACCTTAGAGGTAGTCATCATCAGAATCAAGTGTCTTGCACATGCAATATGCAAAAACACTTAGGAATGTGCATGCACCATGTAGTTAGCACAATGGCACTTGCACTTACCACCTACAAAAATCTGTAAACATTACAGATTGAACAATTAGACTTTGGACAAAACGAAACATTCACCAAGTGAATAGTTGATGTCAGTCAAATGTTCTAAGTCCACTACTTATAACCTGATTAGTGAGACTTCACAATATCAGATATTTATTTGGCTCATGCTTAACTTGCACATTTACAGGTAGGACTAGATATTGTCAGTTTTCACATTGGCATTAACAGCCGTAATCAAAGTTACCCTGCTTAAACCTTTCCAGAAAGTATATTTCAAGAAGATAGCTTTTTTAACCATTTGCATTCTAAAACAAGATTCAGTTGACAGCCAATGGCCTTTCCTCCAACAATTGTGTTCAAAGACATCTTACCCTTCATCTTTGTCAATAATTACTTTCTCAATGAGCTATGTGTGTGCTCAAATCAGTGCCAACAGAACTTTACACTGAGGATTTAAGCCTGGAAAACTGACTTTCACCTCTCAATGCCTCTATTCAGCTAAATACAAAAGTTCTGCGACTGGATTTCACATTCAATTACAACCCAGCCTCTGCTGTGCATGTGCATATGGTTCGCTAAACCATACCCTTTCTGTTTGGGATTGCTTACCTACCTTGCCACTTACTTTAACTGGCTTTCGCACCTCTCGAACTGATACATTTGCTTTAGACTTTCCTTTAAGGTCTGCCAAGTTCTGCCAGATGGAAAAAATAATTGGTTAAAAGTTGGGCATGGAACCTAAGACCTGACAATAATTAAATGAAATGTTATGCACTATCACTTTCTACATTTGATGGTCACCTTTTAATTTACCTCTTTGTGCTTTTTACCAAGGACATGTGAGGTCCACAGAAATTCGTTCTTTATGGTCATGTCACATACCACACAAGACAGCTGGCCAGCACTATTGTATCTGGTGAACGAAAGGGAACGTATAGCGAACCTCTAACCCAAAGATAATCGTGCTTCCAAAGATTGTAAGTTCCAGAAATAATACCTGGCCAGCGGGGAATCAATTGATGTTTTTGCTTCCCTCTTCCTCTTGACTAAACGTAGATCAACCTTTCTAGAAGCCATCATGACGCTTCACCACATATTGTATGTATGATTACACACAGTGTCCTGTAAGAAGTCTGTTATCAAGTCTTCAGAAGGAAGAGTAAGATGAACCACTAAATAGCTGTTACACTACATATTAATCTGTGCATTGCTTACTACCGCTGACAAATTAGCACCGTAGACTATCTGGGTACACCAGTCGTCATCAAAAACAGAGGTACCGTGCAAAAGTGCTATTCGGCCGAAAGGTACAGACATTACCCGGAAAGATCGGTGACATACAATGCTGAACAAAGAGGCTGAGGAAGATGACTTTATAAATCTCTTCGGGAAACAGTATGGATATGGAAATAAAATTGATCAAATAAGAAAACAAGAATTTAAACGACTGGAAGGTAGGGATACTTTACTTATAATTATGTGACTGTTTGCGGGCCATCAAATTATGGAGTTAATTCATAGGAATGCAATTGCTGTTTAATACCCTATAACATAAGTTTTACGGTTATTTCATGTTCATTACTTCACCAAATTCAACTGAACGCACATCGTGGTATCCAGTTATCAGGGACGAACGAAACTGAACATTATCAAAGAAGGCTTTCGTGGAATCATGGTGTTGCGTAACATAGAGCGCCCATTGACCCCTTGCACAATTTATGACAATCAATGTGGCGCAGCGCCCTATAAATATTTACCTTACAATATGTGTAATATGGTGATTTCTATGTAGGATCTGATTGGTTCTTTATAAGTTTCTCTATTGGGTAATTATTCCACAGTCAAACCTCTCCACAATGACCCCTGGGGGTCATTGTTGAGAGGTGGCTGCTGTGGGGAGATAGGTGTGTAATAAGACACCTGTCTAAGATCCCTGAATCACTCATGTCTATTAGCCTAAGATATTGTTCTTTAAAAGTAGTTAGGAAATGTCGTTGTATCTCAAGACACACCTCCTATAGGATTCTCTATATACTACCCCTGGTGGATTCATTCTCCCCTTGGGCTTTTTTAAAAAATATTCTTATGCTTGTTGTTGAGGAGAACATGAAGTTATTTTATTATTATCTGAATGAATTAATTAGAACATAATTCATATACTGTAGGTATTACATATCTTGATCATGCTGGGACAACACAGTATCCACAGAGTGTTATTGCAAATGTTTACAGTGACTTGAGTTACAATGTGTATGGAAATCCACACAGTAGGAACCCAAGCAGTCAGCTGTCAAGTGATGTCATTGACCAAGTCCGCACAAGGATTTTAAAACATTTTAATACATCTTCAGAACAACACACTGTGATTTTCACTTCTGGTGCTACTGCTGCATTGAAACTTTTGGCTGAAAGCTTTGATTGGAAGGGAGCCACCAGTGAAGGAAGTGCTCATCAAAGTCATTTTTGTTATCTGCAAGAGAATCACACATCAGTGGTTGGTATGAGAGAAATAGCTGCTTCAAGAGGGGCCCAAATTAGTTCTGTTAATGAAAAAGACTTGGAAGAACAAATCATCTTTACAACAGAAGAGAAAAGGGAGGATTCAGATCTAAAACCATTTGATTCTGGGAGCAATGGTGTCAGAGAGACTGTTGACTGTTGCCACAATTTATTTGCTTTCCCTGCAATGTGTAATTTCTCAGGGAAGAAGTATTCTCTTAAATGGATTTCTCAAGTTAAACAGGGATTGTTAGTCAAAAAGAGTCATTGGTGCCATTGGTGCCATTGGTTTGTTCTTTTGGATGCATCTTCATTTGTGAGCACTTCTCCATTGGACTTAGCATCTTGTCCAGCAGATTATATTCCCATTTCTTTCTACAAGATGTTTGGTTTTCCTACTGGTTTAGGTGCTCTTATTTTAAAGAATAGTAGTTCTTATTTACTACAAAAGTGTTATTATGGTGGAGGAACAGTGCAAGCAACAATTACTGATGAAAGGTTTCATATCCTTAAGAACAATCTCACTGAAAAGTAAGTTTATCACATTTTTTTCTTTTTTGTCTCTTTAGCATTTGATACTTAAAGATCTACATGTACATGTATATCTACCAGTACTGTGAAGTCTCACCATAAAACAGGCTGTGGGATACAGTGGAAAAGTTATATTTGCACATTATTTGGCTTTCCTTAGTAGCCCCATCATGTGGCAAAGAGAAGATTATTAGGTATTGAATTGTGATTTTGAAATATAACCTCATGTTAGCTTCATGACAGTTAGAGATTGTTAGAGACAGTGCATGATGTGTCAATTGAGGTACATTTAATTAAATGGCATATATTATCCTCTTTGTTCTTTATGTCTTATAAAGTTATTGCCTCTTTTAACTAAGGTTCTAGAAAATATGTTTTCTCACTACAGCTAGCTAGTTATAATTCCTAGGTGGTGGAGGGAGCGGATTGTCACCTAGTATAAAGTTTCTTGAAGTGTTGTCCGTGACAAGTGTTGATAAGCTTCAATCTTTTGTAGTCTCAAATTTCCTTTTGGCAGTTGATATATCAATTGAATGCCAGTTAGTATCCTTTTGGTGATATGTGCAATGCTTTGGGTTAGATTAGAGAATATTTTTTCAGACCAACACAATGAGAGGTTGTCATGGGATTAGATCAGGTTAATAGTACTTCAATATAATTTCAGGATATTGCATTCCAGCTAATTATTCTTCTGATTTGGTTGCTGGATAAGGAATTGTGAGAAGAGGTCCATCATATCCATCATTTCTATAATTTAATGGGTCAAATTGAAATGAAGGCAAGAGATTCAGGGTTTAAAAATGCCAAGGCAGCACCCAAACTTTCAACCTGAAATTCAGCATTCGTGGGATTTAAAAATTTAACTACCTAAAGATAAAGATTACTTTCTTTCTAGCGAGTCTGTTGCCTTATTTGGATATATCAGTTGTATCCTAATTAAGCTGGTAAATGTAATTCATGACAAGAGATTTCTTCAACTTTTCAGGTTTGAAGATGGCACAGTTCCTTTTCTTGAGATCATTGCTTTGCATCATTCCTTTCAATTGTTTGAACAGCTGGTAGGATCAATGAAAGATGTGTTGAATCACACCCATAGCATTGCTTTGTATGTGTATGAAAAGATGTCTGCAATGACACATAGTTCTGGAAAATCTGTATGTAAAATTTACTGCGAAACAGACTTTCAGGACAACACAAAGCAGGGCCCTGTTATAAACTTTAACCTGCTAAGAGCAAATGGAGAGTTTGTTGGCTACGGTGAGGTATGCAACAATTATTTGGTATCATTTGCATTTTATTTCCTTTTATTTTCTATACTTTACTTGGGTTTTGTCACTGCTGTAGTGTTTCTAGTTAAATACCTGAGTCATTATCTCTACAGGTAGAAAAGATGGCTAGCCTTTACAATATTCACCTAAGGACAGGCTGTTTTTGTAACATGGGGGCATGTCAGAAGTATCTGAGCCTTTCCAGTCAGCAAGTGAAGAAAAATTTGTCTGTGGGTCATGTGTGTGGGGATAATATGGATCTCATTGATGGCAAACCCACTGGCTCTGTGAGAATCTCATTTGGTTACATGTCTAACTTTTCAGATGCAAAAGAACTTCTAACATTCATTAGAGAATGCTTCCTGGAGGGTAATTCAAGCCGCTCTTTACCTGAAAGATCTTTAGATGCAGAGAGATCTGAACATACTGAGTTTCTTTCCAGCTCCATTTTGGTTAAGCAATCTGAAGACTTTGCTTCAAATGCAAATTTTAAAAACGTTATGGAGCGGAATTCAACAGTGGCATCAACTGTAAGTCAGAGAGGTACTCCAATTGAAATGTCTATCAGAACTCTGACACCTAATCATTGTGACATGCACACACATGTGCCTCAAGAATGTGGTGATAATCCAAATAACCATCTAGAGTTGGAAAAGATCTGCTTGTATCCAATCAAGTCTTGTGCTGCATTTGAGGTACATGTAATGGTGTCAGTAGTTGAAATTTTTTTAGCTAACCTCTGGTAACCTACCGAAACAACAGTTTAAAGACGGAGATTCATACCCACTGTTCTGTAAGTTCAAGGGACATCCATCCATTTAGCTTGAATTGCTTTAATTCCTCATGGAGGGATTTTGCATCAAACTGTGGATAATTACATCTAAAAAACATGCAAAAGGTGGAAGCGATATCACTCACAATCTGACAAATGTAGATATAGGAAATAACTGATTTCTCTGATATTTATACCAAATAATGCCTTTGCAGCTTTGCCCATTTTTAATGGTATTGTCTCCCTGCTTTCTTATCGAAAGTATTTACAGTAACAGCAAGTTAAGTGACATTTGTTATTCTTGTGTCAGGTACATGAGTGGGAAGTTGGTAACAGAGGATTTGTTTTTGATCGTCATTGGATGATTGTGACTGACTCTGGGGTTTGTCTGACACAGAAGAGAGAAGCAAAGATGTGTCTGATAAAACCTCTGTTGGATCTTAGAAATGGAACACTATCAGTCACAGCGACAGGTAAACAGATAGGAACTTAATGCCGATCGTGAGTAGTGGTACTGAGGTTAAATTGCATTTTGGTTGAAATATAGTATCATTTCGACAGAAAGAAAATATATATTTGCAGTGAGTAAACAGGTTGAGAGACTGGTAAAGGAGCTGCATTTGGAGCTTAACCTCCTGATAGTGTCTATGTCAATTTGTGTTCTTTTACCTGTATCTCTAACGAATGCACATAGTTAAAACAATCGATTGCGTTTTGATGTTAAAATGATGTTTGTTTTAATTAGGAATGCCTGATCTAGTGTTACCACTGTACCTATCGTCAGGGAATGATAAAAAGGTTGCAAGATTTTGTCAAAGTAAAGTCTGTGGTGACAGGTAAATCGTAAATTTACCTCCTTTTTACTTGTTTAAGAAAATGTTTGGCGTTTTTCTCTACCATTTTTTTTATACTGCATGTGCAATGTTTTAAGCATTAATAATATCCCAAGTCTATGTAATCAAGACGAAATAAATGTCATGAACCGGCGTTCCTTCGCATGGCATTTTCGGCTTCACTCGCAGTTATTTTTTCTTTTTCTATCTGCAAAGGATGCTGTTACATTGAGCAAATTCGACTGTCTCTTTTCTTTTCTTTTCTTTGCTTTTCTTTTCTTGGTCATTATGGAAGCTCGTATGGCCTTTTGGTCGGGACCGGTTTGTCAGTGGGTATGACTGGCGTATAATTTGACACTAGCATTTCTCCTTGATCGTTGATCCTGTTCAGTTTTCGTAGAATTTTAAAAGCAGATGGAGGACTGTCCAACTGTTTCATTCAGTGCTCTTTTGATACTCTAGGATCTCAGCTGTGGACTGCGGAGAGAACGCTGCCTCGTGGATGTCAACATTTTTTAACAGAAACTGTCGACTAATTCAACAAGACATGGACGATAGCCGCACTTGTAAACTGGGAGGTAAATATTGATAAACTCCCGTAATCTCAACCTTCAGTAACATTACTGTGTTATCATGTTTATTTTGTGTTATTCTTGTGATTCCTTTAAAAAACTTTGTATATTTGACGGCAAATGTTAACACATTTCCCGAACTGATTATCCCTGTTTGTGATAGGAATGAAACAGCGAGAAGATAACAGAAGTAGGTCTCTTTCTCTTGCTAATGAATCGCAGTTCCTCCTGGTGAACCGGGAAAGTGTCAGTGAACTTCTGAACAATGTTAATCAAGACCAACCTTTAACTCCATCATCTTTGGTTACTGTGGTAAGTTTCTCATGCTACTAAATTGTTGTAGCAAATGGTGATAGTTGTTATCAATAGTAACTTGACTTGATTCCGTACTTGTTGTGCTTGCTCGCAACACCCTCAATCAGTAAAACGTGGTATTGTTGAGTGTCTACTCGTCAGGGCTGAACACCTCACGACAAAGCCATCAACTGTAGCCCTAGAGAAGAAACTCTTGTCTTCTGTTCTTGTTTCTAACGGATACCCGCCCTCATTTGTTCGAAAGAGTACAAAGACGAAACCATTTACACCCAAAGAGAAACTCACTCAAGATTTCGAATCCACTACGGTTCTACCTTATATCAAAGGTGTTTCGGAGGTTCTTCTCCACAGCGGTTCTGCCTTATATCAAATATATATCGGAGGTTCTTTTCCACTGCGGTTCTACCTTATGTTAAAGGTGTATCGGAGATTCTTTGCCTCTGCCTACGAGAACAAGATTTACGTGTAGTCCTAAAATCAGACACGACACCCAGCTCATCCCAATAACATCAATAGGGATCACGGCGTGGATGACCATGGATCTCATTTGCTGATTAAAAGCAGTATTATGGTCAAAACCATGGAATATATTTTGTAGATAAAAACGACCTCGGTAAGGAAGGTAAGTGTGAACTCGCAGTGCAGACGTCTCAGGAAAAGGGCTATATCTATCTCAAACTAAAAATTACTAAGTAATTTACGCTCGAAACATCAGCCTTTTTACCCTTTACGGTGGCCAATTTACGTTTTCAACTCAGTTGTTAGCACTAAATTACCTGCTATACTCTCCCACCGACGTAGCACCACAGTTTCTTTAGAAACTTACCCCCTTTAAAAATCACTAACACGAAATGGATATCCCAGCCAACGGCCGGGTTGTCCTTCAGTGCACTGTCCTCTCTCTTGATGTTATCTTGATGTTATCTTGCACCTCCAGGTGGAAAAACAAGCCAAAAGGTTTAGACCCAATTTAATTGTAGCTGGTGGAGAGGCGTTCAGGGAAGACTACTGGAAAACTGTGAAAATTGGAAATTTGGTTTTCGAGGTGGGCGAATCTGTATGGTTTTGGTTTTACACTAGTTTTCAAAGAGTTATTCTTTTTATCTTCGTCGTTATAGCACTATGTTTGGCTTATTGTTCTTTATCAATATTCAATCCCCGGACTGCCGTGAATGAGGTCAAGAGGAGGTCGAGGGTTCATGCCCCGATCAGACCAACACTTTGGGTCTTTATGTAAGCCGGGAGGATGTGTTCTGTAAATAGTTCGGACGATTTAGTTTTCTCGAATATTGAATGATTCTAGCAAGTATATATCTTTCTTTAATATGCGATGTAGTCCAATCTTCGCCTGTGTCCCAGCAAGTTCACATGAGCATATAGCTGCTAAATTACTGCCTAAATAAAACAAATAATCAAACAAATAAAGTGGGACATATTTGACAGAAAACAGAAATGAATCGTGGATTGTTAAATTTCCGAGTGGTTTGTTATTGTTTAGTTCTAATTACTGTAATCCTCAGAACAAAGGAAAGTGTAACCGGTGCCAAATGGTGTGTATTGACCAAGAAACTGGAGTCAGGAGCGTTGAACCATTGAAAACACTTGGGAAGATACGAGGATCAAAGGTGTGTGTTGGAAAAAAAAAAATTATTTAACGCGAATTCGATGCGCCGAATTCCCCCCTCCAACCCCCCATATTCATACAGCACTTCATATGTTCTACTTGTAATCACTCAGCAAATTTTAATGACTCCCCATGCAATTCCCGGAATTTGACTCCATATGGTCTTATTACTATAACCGATACGCTTGCCGGCAGTATCCATGATTTCGTCTCAGAAAGTCTCCAAAGACGATTTTCGCTCTCGCGCAAAAAGTTGGCGTTAAATGTTGTGTGTGATGTTTGCCTACAAAGATGATCAGTTTGTTGAAGCCTAACTTGATGTTATCATTACTGATGAATGTGACGCTTTGAATAAGGATAACGCCAGTAAGTTTCGTTACTTTTTCTTTTTCAGATGCCTTTTGGAGTTCACTTGGAACATGTTTCAAACGTACAGCAAAATCCAGCCATTCTTCATTGCGGTGATCTTGTTACTGTTAGCCGTTAGCTCCTGACCTCAACAGCTTCGAACTGATCGACACTAATTTAAAATAGATCAAGCTTTGGTGTGATGATCAAAGTCGTCGATCAATTTTTTCAAAATAAATCTCGTGATTTTGAAATCGCCGTGGAAAAGTTACAGAATTTTCTTTGGATTCAAATCAAACATTGTAGTAAACCATGCCTGATAAACAAATCCTATACAGTGAAAGAGAATCAACAACAAGAAAAACAACAATGACACCACCAACAACATTAATGTCAGTAGTTGAGAAAAATTACGCCATAAACTTCTCCCATAATTGACGCAGTTTGTGCCGTCTCCAAGCCAGCGGATAAGAGCGTAGCTGCTGAAATTATATTATTGTTGGCAGAAAACTTACAGATAAACAAACGAGAGCTTCGCCTAAATCACACAAACAATCCTGAAAACTTATTGCCACGGTTTGTGAATGAACAACACGAATCACGAAATTTCAAGGCTGTGAAATTGATATTTTCAAAAGTAATAATGATTGACTTTATTGCAGAAGTATACTTGCAATATCAGTTAGTGTTTAAGCATGACACTGTTTTGTTTATTACCAATGAAAATCTCTTCCTACTTCTTTATAAAACTCCTCATTGTACGGCCGAAAGTAGTCTTCCAAAAGTTTGCGAATGTCACTTCTAATAGAAGGGTGAGGTCTTCCTTTACTCTCAGACAAACAACCTGAATTCTCTTTTTTCAACTTGAAAGACCTACTAATACAGGGAAAACGTTTGGTTTGATTAATGTAGAAGTTTTCCTTCTTAATAAAGGGTTCGATGTTAAGAAACTTCTCCACAGCTTGCAGTTCCTTGGCTGGGTTAGTAATCAAATCATCTCCGTTGACGAAGTGAAGCTGTGAGATTGGGAAATATTTTAACCAATTTCGTAAATGTTTTACGTAAACACCAATTCTTATTAAACCGATGGAAGTTCTCAGAACCTTTCCTGTTTTATCATTCGTTACATATCTTTCAAACGGCGGTAGAACGCCATGTCTTCTGTGTGTAACCTGCACATAATCCGAAATTGCCCTCTCGACGGGATTACGTACTATCGCAATGAGCTTGACGCTCTTCGACATCTTATAAACCCTCTGAGGAACCTTATCCCTCACAAAGTAAGCTGGCGTTTTCTCAACAGTGATGTCACCTTTGTATGACTCTGGCATTTGTTCCCTATACCAGTCCAGTCCCAACTCATAGTTCTTATCGGTATCAAAGAAATGCACTTCCCATGGGCACGCCTTAATTTTTGGGTGGATTTTAAGAAACTCCAGCAGAGCTCTCGTACCTCCTTTCTTGACGCCTATAATTATAGCATTTGGGAGACGTTTTTGTTCAATATGTTTGCTCCTTCCTTTGGAGACGCGTTCATTCCATTGTTCTGTATTCTTTCCTATTGCACTTGAAGACAAACGTCTAGCAGGGTCATCATATTCCAATGACATGGAATTGTTTACATAGCTGTTCACTTCAAATAAGTCATCTCCACCTTTGAAATCCCTGCTTGCAAACCGCGTTTTAGGTTCCCTCAATAAAATACTGTACAAGCAACACAAAAGCAGTCCGGTAAGGGGGAGGCAAATGCAGACCTTTTTCCCGTCTAAACACACTGCCATGCGATAATAACACTTGGGCTGGTTTGCACAGATTGCGTACCTGAATAAAAAAGGGAATGACATTCAGTCGGCAGAAGACGATAGCTTCTGTTTTCACATGTGGTACTAAAGACCTATCATAGGTGACAATGGCCGAGGATTCGAGAGCAGCGCCAACTTACAGCATGTACTGTATTAAATTTAGCAGAGACAACCAGTTCAGAAAAAACGATTCAAAATTTCCACGGCCATTTGATATAGTATGCTCTTTGTTTTAACCATCACTTACAGGCGACTTAAGCAAGATAAAATCAAGGCGTAGCTTTTACTGTCTTGAATTCCTGTCTTTCAAAGCCGGATAGGCCTATGGACTGCTTCGTCCTGAAACTTGGGGCTGAGAGAGCGAATCAAGAAGAACAATTCCGTTTTAATTTCCCGAGCGTTCGGCTTTTCTACACTGTTCATTGGTTGCCCACATACACAGCTAATGCTCTTCACACTAGAACTGTGAAGTATCGACGACGCTCTGCTTTCTAACTGGTCGATCGTACCACATCGTATCGCGCGGAAACTTGTTGTAATGGACTCATGCAAAGTAAGGTGTATCCCCAGAGACGATTTTGGGCTTTCCAGTTAATATTTGTGTCGGTGCTTCTTTCACTTGTCAAATTATAGACGGACGACACTAAGCTCACGGACAGCGAACGAAAGTTTCTGACTGTACAAACCCACAGCTAGCAGATTTGTTTCAACGCACAGAACAGCCAAATACCCGGCAACTTAAGTTCAAGGACAGGGATTTTTGACCGCGCGAGATCTAGGTGAGAACACAGTATTAACATACAAAACAAACATGGCGACTCGATACGATCGCACAATTATCAGGGTTCTCACTAGATTTTTAAGTAGGAGGTGACCACTGATAAAGTAGGAGGCCTCGTTACCATGTTTCACCGTGAACGCCTGGACTCATCGATCGAGTCCAGAACCGTAAGCAAGTTTCCCGGTTTTGTTTGGATCACAGTCGTGCAAGAAACGGAAGAGAAATTCGGAAACAACTCAAGCAAACTGGCAGAACAAAACAAAGAAAAGAAAAGCGACTTAAACACAAAGTAAGCGGCGATCAATCGCCGGGTGCCGCCTTCTATTGAGAACCCTGATTATTACCTGAAAAGGTGCGTTAAAAAAGTTTAACACAACACAGTTTTAATGCGTTGGAATCCAGCAACTGCACCCGTAATATTCATAGGCCTTGTATGCCTGAAAAAGAGGTCAACCGACCGTTTAACATATCTGTACCTTTCCTAATATTTACTACAGCAAACGATAGTCCGAACCTTGCTCATCGCCTTTTGATGGCTTATAGTGACCTTGAAAAGCGGAAACATAAAAATTTCAAGAAAAACATTACACTGGCGTGTGCGCCAACCTGACATTGGGCAAAAACCCTATGGAGCCTCCTCAAGACGGACGAGTCTGTACAACAATGCGTTTTGACATTCGATCTGCTATAAAGTTAAACCTTACACCTTTCATGTTTTTGTTCTAACCAGATAAATTTCGAGGAGTATAATCAACCTTTAGGAGTGAATATATATTTTTTTTAACATGGAACTGAAACATATAAAATTTTTGCGAGGGAGATTGTTGATGAGGAATAAAATAGATCGTATAATCTTGCAACGAGCTGCCTTTGATTAAAAAGCTGCGGTAAACCTTCGTCAGCCATATATCACAAATCGAAAAAAACGCTCCTAAATACGAAATGTTTAGTTTCTAAAGACCCAATCACGAGATTTGTTTATAATTGTTTTTAAGTCAATGTCTGAAAATAAAAATAATCCGTCTGAAGACAAACATGAAATAGATATACGAATATTATACTCGGTAGCAGCTGGAATATCTTCCTTATGACGTGGATCATCGTGAAAATCAAAATCCAAGTTATCATAAAATTTCAAAAATAAACTTTCTGGAAACTGAAAATTTAATTGTGGCGAATAACGTGGCACAGAACGATTTGCCAAAACTGACAGTCATTTGAGGGCTGAGAACGAAATCCATTTGGCATCGGGAACATTTCAAATGCTTAAGTCTTCCTTCTATGTTTCCGGAAATTTGCCCCAAAACTGCTCGTGCAGTTCTTTTTCGTAATTTTCAATTGCATGTAATAGCATTAACATGCTTCGGAGCAAACAGAAAGGTAGCAACAATGCGCGTTGCGGGTCAAATTTTATTTAAATAAGCCGTAACACGCGACCTCTATACATCAACAACTCAACGAAAATAATCTTTCGCGCAAGAAAAGATTTAAGAAAATAAATGAACTATGACGGATGTATTCTAAAATAACAATTATGTACAAAAGCGGTTCATCAAGCTTAGTTTATGGTCGAGACAAGCTGAAACTGAACATTATTCCGTTCCGAACAAAATATCTCTCAAGAAAGCGGGTGCGCAACAAAATACTTGTATGTCCTATGTCTCTCACTCCTGTCGCTGCATAGAAGGGTTTGTTGATCAGCAACAATGCTACTTTTGGGAGAAATGGGACGTAAAAACGTTGAAGACCAGCGAGAAAGCGGTTAAGATCAATATTTTCGAGTTGCAGATGATCCTCACATAAACTAAATTCATATTGCATACATCATTCGTTTGTAAGAATTAACTACATGGCAAGGGTAAAAAAAAAGACAAACTAGACACTTACCTCTTCAAATTTATGATTTTTCCAACAGGCCTTCGCCAGATATATCCGGTTTTCTTCTCGCTACACGTATTTCGTCGTAAAGTCGTTGTCCTCAAACGAAACCTAACACCACGAATTTGATAAGTAACACAAGATGATACGTGACGCGTCAAGAATTCATATCTTATTTCAAACAATTCCTGTGGTGTTTTTTCAAATCACGTAGCCTCGAGTGTTTTTTTTGTCCCAAACTCCTTGCAACCTCACTGATGGACACCTCAAGCACACACAAAATGGAAACATAAGCAGATTCTTCAAAATCCCACCTCATAAATTAAAATTTTATAGATTAAAAGGTGCAAACAGTTTGTGATGGCTCCCTGAGGGAACAATTCTGTTCATTTTTAAAATCTCCGTGTAAAATCTGGTGTAATCCTTATAGTCCCCTACCCCCCTGGTGGTTCCTTCCGGACCCATCACTCCAGCCCCAAACATTTCGTCGTTTTGCCTGCCTCCAAGATAGTGTGTAATTTTAATAAATCAATGATCCAGACGGGACCAGAAAATCTTATGTGTATTAGGTGTATCGTTCCGTATTTATTTGATAAAACGCCACCCTCGAATAAACGCCGCATCATCATGCGGCGCTTAGTCGAATAAAAGACACAAAAAGCACACAGTGATTATTTCTTCGATCGCAGTTTGAAATTTGAGTGAACCAGACACAACTTCTTTTGAATGTCGAGAAAGCATATCCGACATAGGATCTTTATTCAATTTATGTATTGCAGTAGTATTAACATGCAAATTGTGAAATTGAGAGCAATATAAAAAATTAGTTTTGAGACAAGCACCAAAACATGTTCCTGTTTTTCAAAATGAAAATGGTCAGTTTGCAAGAAATAAATTGAATTTTAAATGAAGCCACCGTCGAATAAACGCCGCACTCGAATGACGAAAAATTTAATAAACGCTGCGACGTTTAATCAAATAAATACGGTATGCATCGTCTGCTGTGATGTATTATCACCTTGCCAATCACAAACCTTTGCAACTTTCTCTGATGCTACTGTGAACAAGATTCGCGGCGATCAACTACCGCAGCACTTAGTTTTACAAAATAGCCTGTATCAGGCGTTCAGCGGAAGTAAAACGAAGCACTATAGTACGTCATAGGAAAAGGATTACTTATCGGTAGAGATTCAAACATTTGTAGGGGTAATGTGATAGACCCTTAGGTATACCGGTTAATACATTTTGTGAACGTTTCAGTGGAGAAATAGAAAGTGGTCTCTTGCTTTAACTAGGACTTAAAAAGAGGGTCCAACGTGGGTTTGGCGGGATGCGGGATGAGGCTTAAAGTGGAGGCGGGATATGAGATATGCTTCGTTTCGAAGGCGGGATAGGGGACAGGACGGGTGCTATCGGGATCATATTTTAGCTAGAGTTGCGAGTCACACTGTCTCAGGGACATTAAAAAGTATTTATTTGCTTTAAAAACGAGGTTTATTAATGTTCCCGTGTAATTTGGAGTTTATAGGCCTAAATGACTTCGTAGTACGTCCAGTCTGTACTTGTTACGTGTGTTTACACGGCTCCATGGCATGTTCGGTTTCTCGCCTTTGTTATAATTTTGCTCTCACGAGTATTAGTGAACGCTTCTTTCTGTATGATATTATAGGCGGTTCTTTGAAGATTTCTCCTAGAAATGGTTGTTGCTGCATTAAATGCCACTTGCTCATAAGGACTTCTTTAGGGTTTGGAACTGTTGGGTAGTACTGTGTGACAAAGGGCAAGATTCGATTGTTTATTTTTCCCTGTTAGAGGACGACCCGTTTACTTCCTTCAAATTTCACCTTTACGAGTGGGTTGTCAATGAAAAAATCCGGGTAGCCTCTCTATGCCAGTTACGATTTGAACTGAAATACAAATCATAACTAGCAGAGAGAGGCCTGGCTGTAAAAGCTTTTCTTTTGAAGCCTTTCTCTGCTCCCGGTGGGTGAAATATTGTGTAGAAAGTGTCCTGGAATACCTCTGTTGGTTTGAAGAGGATTCTCACGTCTAATACTAACTCCCTTTTGAATCTTTTGCCCCTATAGAAAGTGGCGTCTAAGGAAGTAGCTTCTGAAACAGATATTTCAGCCGTAAATTTGATTGTTGGGTGGTATTCATTTGCCTGTTCATTGAACTGGTTGACGACACCTCTACTGGTGTGTAAGAGAGAGATTATGTCTTCGATGTAGCGTTTCCAAACAAGCAGTTTGTAAGTGCCTTTATTTAGGATTTGCAAAATCTAGTACCATTTGCTGCCCATGGTTTTCTCCAGTAAGCGCTTTGAAATTGGGAGGGGGGGGAGGTATATTTGTGTGTAAGCTCGTAACGTCCATTATAACGAGTATCACTTCTTTCGGAATCCTTTTTTTTTTTATGAAGTTGATGAAGTCTGTTGCATCTTTGAGATTCATGAGACTTCAGTTGTGGTGGCGATCGGCTGAAGGATTTAATCTATGTAACAGGATTGCTTTGCTGCTATTATTGAAGAGCACTTACTTCCTTTCATAGGTTGGTAATAATTTTGCATTGAGTAGTTTTTATTATTTTTATAAATTATACACCTTAGATAAGGCGTCTCTGACCTTTTCTAATCCTATCCTATTTCAAGGTATATTGCAGTGGGGCTGCAAGTTAACCAAAAATATTTCTCGTTTCACCTTCAATAATTAAACTTGGTTTTTAGTATTACATGTTTTATTAATCTTACTATTGTTGACCTAATTTTCATCATTATTCCTATCATTAATTGTGATTATTACTATCACCATTATTATATTGCTTGTATTACTCGTTTATCTCACTTATCAATTGTTGTTTTTTTTTTTTTAATTTCATTGATTTGCTTCCATACGTCTTCTCCAGTTGATATTCACTTGGTCTTCTCTTATTACTGTAAGACCCTCCAAGAGCACCCGCGCGCGATCACGGGTATTACATATTATAAGCAAGAGATTATAAATTGAATCTTTTGTGCCAAGAGATTCAGTTTATAATATCTTCATGTAATATTGTTCTTGCCTTCCACATTCCAGCGATTTCTATTTCCAAGTCTTTGAACTCTAAAAGTTTCCTGATGTTTTGGTGGAAGAAATCATGTCTCTTTCTTTTTTATAACAATGTGTAAACGGTTTACTCTATCTAAAATTTAACCCATACTTCACACTTAAACCGTACGTCACGTTTAGCATCTCGAGAACCTATTGACCGATTTCTAAGACTAACATACCAATAAACAGCCTTTTTCATTCTAAATGTTATGTCAGCACTTCTCCGACAACATTAGACACAGCAAGATATTTTTTGAAGCTGAGACTGGCGTGAGACAAGGTGGTACGATGTAGTCTCTCCTTTTCAATTTGGCTATCGACTGGGTCATGAGACAGGCAACAAGAGAAACAAATGGAATAGAGTAGTCCCTTTTCAGCATGCTTGAAGATCTGGATTTTGCTGATGACTTAGCACACGCAGGGTCGGATCCAGAGCAAAACCAAGCAGCTCAACAAATATGTGAATCAACTTGGCTTCAAGATCGTCCTGAAGAAAATTGAAGTCATGACTCTAAATGTATCCAGTCCATAATCTATTAAGATTGATGATCAAGCATTAGGAATCCTTCACCTACCTTGGTAGTGTTTCGTTTATCAAATAGGCGTTGCCTCTTGTTGACAGATTTATTTAATGACAAGAATCGTGATTAACATTAATAATATAGATTGATTCAAAAGCGTTAGATTATTATATTTCGAGTCAGTTTTTCACCAGAATCGAATTGAGAAAGAAGTTATTTTGTTATCATTTTTTTTTGTCTCTAAATCCTCTTGCCTGGAGAATATGCTAACCTGTAAAGTGAGACTGTTGTAACGACCCGCCACAGAAGTAAGTTTACATTGAAGGTTTTGAATTTAGCTACGAGATTAAGACTTGATTTACGTTTGTTCTGATTGCGAATTATAAATGTATTTCTTTTAGATCGAATAATTATTAAAGCTTGGCTTGATATTATACGGTTTGTGGTGGTCATTTGATCTAACCAGTTCCGAGTAAGGAAACAGGTAGTGTCATAAAGCGTAATGGTGGAGCAAAAAGGGATATCCAGAACCGACTGAACAAGGCAAAAGGGACCCCAAATCGGATGATGGACGTCCGAAGTCAGCACAGTACAATAGGAGAGGAATGTAAGGTTACCATAGCCACTGGCACTTTGTTTGTGGTACAACATTGGAAGATCTTCGTAAATTGAACGATCTAAGAGCTCGCTCTTGAACCGTCTGCACTTTTCAAGTTTCAGGAGTAGCCAGGGAATACCTAATAAGTGACCATAAATTGCCAATAGATTCCCTTATGCTAATCGAGCGGTTTAACAGTATCAGTCCAAATGAAGTAGATAAAAGAAATAAAAATGGCCAAAATGCAAGCGTTGGGGGCCTACAATCACCAGGGTATGCAAATGTTTTGATGTTAATTCGAGAGTTAGAAATGCAAATATTTTTAGAAAATTTAAAAAATGCCTAACTTGTAATTTGTTCTGGATGAGTGAAATTGTTTTCTATCATAGAACGAAATCAACGAGCTTCAGTAGCTTTTCAGTTTCGGAAGGAAACATCGAGTCTGATCTAGTTGAAGCCCTCACTACATTTGAGCGTTTATTGAAGGGAGACGAAGTCGCGTCGCAGATCTCAGAAGTTTTACTGATCGCTGTAGTAAGGAGAATCATGTTTACGTGACTTTATCTCAACACGTAAGAGTTTGTCCGTAATTCACGCTTGCTGCTTAGCTTCCTAGGCGTCATTTGATCGATATCAGTGTAACGGTATGTTCTGTGGTTTCTGCTATACATGTTAAATTAACTTTTAGAGGAAATCCTTCGCATTCGACTTTAAAAATAACTATAAACGAAATTTATGTGAAATCGTCGAGTAAGGTTGTTAGATATATAGAGACTTCAAATGCAAATCTGTTTGCATGTTTTGCTGGTACAACCTAGGACAATACACACTTCAAGCGAAAGTTCAGGGGAAATTATAGAGTAACTTGTCTTGTTTTCTCATTGAATTCTTGCAGAAAGCTCTAAACATGGACGTGGAGGAAACCATTGCTACCAACAACTCCATCTTACCTCGAACTGAGTACGATGATAATTTCCTCGTAGATTTCACAGTCGTGGAAACTGCTTTTGCTGCTTCCGCTTTGCTCGTCATCATGATAGCGTGTTTAACAGGAAACCTTGTCATTTGCTACGTGGTTTTCCGCAGTAGACGAATGTGGACAGAAATGAACATGTTCATGGTGAATCTCGCCATTGGTGATATCGCTATGACTTTTTTGTCTATGCTATCTCCTCTCGAAACTGCTTTAATCAGGAAGTGGGCATTTGGCACGGGGCCTGTGTGTCAGTTAAACGCCTTCTGTACCTCTGTCTTAATTTGCAACACAATATTTACGCACACTGCAATATCAATTGACAGGTTTTTTGCCGTGGTAAAGCCAATGGAAAAAATTATGACTAAGAGAAAAGCGTTTTTTAGCATAGCTGGTGTGTGGATGTTATCAGTGGCTATTACTATTGGACCTATGGTCGGCTGGGGTCGAAATGTTTACAACGCCTCAACATTACAATGCGGTTTTAAATTTCCTGAAAATGAATTTGAGAAATTTTACATCTTATGTCTGGCTGTAATCGCGTTTTTACTACCCTTAATTATCATGAGCTATGCATACATACGAATTTATATCGTTGTACGGAATCATACAAGGCGATTGTCAACTTCTACAATCGGTAATTCTCAATACTCTTTAATACAAAATCAAGACAGAATTGTCTTAACGTTTTTCCTCGCTTTAATTGTATTCATCATTTGCTGGACACCATTCTTTGTATTCATTGCAGTTGCTGCTTCAGTTTCTTCCCGGGAAAAAATACCACGTGGCTTAGGAATTGCAGCTTACTGGTGTGGCTTCATGAACTCTGCCATAAATCCTTATTTGATCGGCTTGAGGAGTGAGAAATTTTATGATGCATTTGTAGCTGTATTTTGTTGCAGATTTCATTCCTGTAAATGTAATTCAAATGAAAGAAAAAACGAAAGCACCAATCCAAACGATCAAATGCTTTGCACAGATGGGAAAAGAGAGTCGCCATTAGAACAAACATCACAAATGGCACATGTAGGAGATGACTATGCCAATTCATTTTTGAACATGGCTGCTGTTCCTGATACAAACGCAACTCAAGAAACGTCTGCTAAAATAACAAACGACGAGAAGACAAGACATCAAAGACGACAAGGGAGAGATGAAACCCCAGGGGTTATATATCCTTGTTATATCCATATGGTCGATGGAAAACTCTGGAATGAGGCCATTGTTTAATAACCGTATTACTGATATTGTTCACGACGGGCCTTACTTCAAGTTTGACGGATAAATGCTGAGAGTTCAGATTATACGAACAAAATATGTCACACTATGTCTACAGTCATAGGGGAAAAGCAAATTCTAACGTAGGTCAGAGCCAAAAGTCCAATGAAAACTTTGAGTCTTTTTGCTGCTAAAACATATTTTACCAACTAGAGCCCAAGTGCCACGCTTCACAAGATAAATTTTTTCCGTTCTTCGTCTAGGTCGTACTCAATTAATTTTTCTACGAAATTTAATAACAAAGCTACTACTAAATCTAATATAATTCTTGCAACACGCTGCTTTGATTAAAATGCTAAAGGTACCATCAAATCTCTTAAATCTACAAGTCTGATCCACAAGTGATGTAGGATAGCGACACATCGGCAGAAATATTGGACAAGATGGCGGCCGCGCTTGCGCATTTCCTCCATAATGGCGTCCAAATAATATAGGAAACTGTATGGAAATTTGTAAAATTTC